ACTTCCAAAATTGTGGCCCAATAATAAAAATAATCCTCACAAATACAACTTGCATAATAATTCTGCACACAGTGTAGACGTTCATTGCAAAAAAGTTCAGTATTCCTTGTGCTATCAGAAAATCTCCTATTTAACAAAAATAACTGAAGAAACTGAATTGAATCAACATACAAAACTTATGGCTCATGTTTTAGAAAGTTATCCAACTGGGGCTGAGTTCTATATTGTCAAATATGAGCCTTTCATACTGGTTGATATAGATAAACATAGATTCTTTTTAACTATTTGAAATAACAGGGGCAAAAAAAAAGGCCACATTTAAAATAGAAATTAAATAAAATGTAATCCTTAACCTTTAAAAAAAGGTCAGGCCTGGTGCTAATCTTGCTTAGTTTGTCTGGGAAACTAAGCAAACTACTCTGCTTAAATCCCCCAGATTATAGATGGATTGAAGTTTAGTTTAATTATTAAGAATTTTATTGGAGGTATTGATATTGACCACCTGTCTATTATAATATAGATATTAACATTGATATATTAAAGACATTCCAAGTTTCAAAAACTCATTTCAGGGAGATGCTTAACGCCCTCCCCCTGGGTACAATGGATCAGCACAATGCCCCATACATACACACTTAAGGCCAGCAACTTTTCAACAACTGTTTATTAACTAATAGTAATTTCTTAAACACAAAACAGAACAGTATTGGTCTTTCATATTCAATTTACAACACTTTCAATCTTGTAGCCTTGAACATCAGTTGTGCTTTCTGTTTTTCATGGGACTTCAGCATACATTGCATCTTGCCACGGTGTCAACATCCCTCACCATGGCCGGTTCTAGACAGGGGCCAACGGGGGCCAGAAATTCTAATGATGATATGCGCTGGAATAGACATTGTTACTGATAGGTCCTTTTCAACAACTTCATTCTTTTTCTTTACAAATTCTATTTTAATAATTAAAAAACATTAAGGTGATAGCTTAGTGGGATTGAGATAGGAGCCCAGTTTTCATCTGCTAAATGTTTTTTTTTTTTTTTACAACAAAGAAAAACAAATACTACAATTTTTACAGATGAATTTAAGAGTTTTTCTTGAGTTCTAATTCAAATTTTATAGAAATGGTAGTTTTAACTTAAATTAAGTCAAAAATATGTAAAAATCCTAAATTATAAAGGTATATTGACCTCATAAGAAATAGAATTTCTATGAACCTAATTGAAAAGAAATTTCACTTCATGCAGCTCTCTTAATATATTTGAATCCCTTGCCCTGATTATTTATTTCATGCTTTTCCGGGCCCCCAGGAAAACATGCTGGCCCCCTCCTGGCCCCCTGGTACATTTGGTCTAGATCCGCCACTGTTCCTCACCTTCACTAGACGTGGATATACTTTAGTATATTCTGCTGTCAAATTAGTCCTATATTTTCGTTTTACGCGAGGATTCAACCTCTGCTGTTTCACAGGATGCACAGCTTTCAGTGGTAACTAGGTGACTGCCAGAGAGTAACACGAAACTTATCAGACTGATCCAATCAGCTCTCTGACAACCAGTTGCCTGGAACACTCGTTGAACAGAGCATCGCTTTGGACAGATACGCTGCACAGGTTTCACAAGTAACCTCCTCCCCACATCCCGCACTCTGATGTTTTTCTTATCCGCACATGAAGCATGAATTATTGCCTGCCCACTCTCACTCACATAAAAAACCTTGCAGAGTGTAAAATACGGGATAATTTATCAGACTTGCAGGCATCCGTGAACAACTATCTATATCAGGGAGAATCCCGGAAGTTCCGGGAGACTTGGGATGTCTGTTATTACCCAGCCCTAAAGTTCTGAAACCACTCAGTAAGGCCAATAAGATGGCCGTTCAAAAAGGTTCAGAAAAAAGTCAACTGAAGAAGATGCTCAAATTGTTTCCAAATTTAGTTACAGTTGCTTGCAAAGGTAATCCCCTCTATCGGCATTTTTCTTGTTTTTTCTGCCTCAAAACTAAGGCTTATCTGTATTGATATAGAGTTTGCATCGTTTCATTTACAGTACCAGCCTAGAGTTTTAAAGATCAACTGGGTTGTTTCTAGTAAAGCCAACACTAAATAGGACAAAAGAAAACTTCAACGTCCCAAACGATCGCATCTGAAATGAGGACTTTGTAGGGAAATATTTAACAAATACAGAGTGTTTCTTTAGATACATCTCTATTAACATGCCTCTCTCTGCAATTTGGATTTCAGGCCATTCTCTGTGGCAAAACTGCTCAGGCTCTTTTTTTCTTAACTCTGGTTATTCCAACACATTTTTCACTTTAAGCCACTCTAGTGTTGCTTTAGCTGTACAATATGCTCTGTGTTTGTCCGCCTAGAAAATGGACCTGTTGATCCATGTTGGTCGTCTTCCCCTCTTTACATAAAGTCATTGTTTATGTAAAGTGTCTTGAGATGACGTGTTTTGAAGAAGCCGCGGTAGTATTTACAAAGTGAAGCAAGTCAATGATATTGCTAGCTTTTCTGACTTGTCATCATGACTTAGCTTGTTATCAGATGCTTTAGGTAGGTGAAAAGTCACCTAACTCACTACAGATATGACGTTGACACGGTAACTTATCAGATGGATTGTATAGGTAGAATAGCTATTGAAATTTAGGGTGGGTAAAGGTCACAATAACAAACTAAACAACCTTCGAGGGAACCTTAATAAATTCAGTAAACCAAAAGTACAATAACACCGTCTCTAACACAAACATCTAGATGTCCACTGGCAGCGGTCTCCCAAAAGACATGCGTAGCTGTAGCAG